TAATATTTCAAAATATTATTGTTTTTGTTTAATTAAATGTAGCCTAGGTAAGTATAAGAGAATTCTTTCCAAAAAAAAAATTATTACTTGCCCAAACCTTTTGAATGGTAGTGTGGATAAATATATTTATAATATAGTTTGTTCCTTGTATGTCATTGTGTTTTCAAATATCCTGTAAAATGGAAATTGTTAATATATATTGAAAATTTACATTAATAATATACAATGAATACATATAATATATGAATGTAAATAGTTTTTTATGATATAAAGGAATCGCCATTTTCTGCATGCTGTTGACGTACTACATGTGGATCAAAGCAGTGAAGACAGGCTCCATTTATTGGTCGTCCATGTGCGCGCTGGCATATTTTTACATGGTGAGCCACATTTGAGACACATTGTCTCTTTGAATTGGGATTGTTTCAGAGCAAATCAATACATTGTTACTTAAATACACAAAATACATTATTTCAATAACACAATAACTTTGTGTGTTGGCGTCAGGTGTCCTCCTGGGGTGGTTACGTGTTTCTGATTAACCTCATTCCCCTCCACGTGCTGGTGTTGATGCTTACCGGCCGTTTCTCTCATCGCATCTATGTGGCGTACTGCACAGTCTACTGCCTAGGCACCATCCTCTCCATGCAGATCTCTTTTGTTGGATTCCAGGTGAGGAGCTGAACATCACCTATCAAATATGAGAAATTACTATAATATAATCTTAAAACTAGATCAATAATCTCTCTCTTTCTCCCTTTTCCTCTAGCCTGTCCAGTCCTCTGAACACATGGCTGCATTCGGGGTGTTTGGCCTGTGTCAGATTCACGCCTTTGTCGATTACCTCCGGAGCAAACTGAACACGCAGCAGTTTGAAGTGTTGTTCAAGAGTGTCATTTCGCTGGTCGGTATCATCCTGCTCTCTGCAGGTGCAGTGCTCATGCTGACAGGTTAGAAGAGACGCTCCCATTCAAATATTTATTTATTTATTTATTTATTTTTATTATAAATATATTTGTAAGTATTTATTTCTGGTAATTTAAATTAGTGCTGGGCGGTATACCGGTTCATACCGAATACCGG